TGGCATGGAATGAATAATATTTCCACTTAAATAAAAAGGGATTATGGTTATGACCCACTAATTAGAAACAATGACATAATTTAAAAGCTTTTGTAAATTTTATAGGAGAGTTGTAGTGAGACCAATTTACTGTGATGAGTAACTATCACAGTAAATAGGAGTTACAAGCTGTGTTACATAATGTGGGACACTAATTCACTATGATTAAGACTAGGACAAAGCAGACAGAAGATTCTAAACAAATGGTTTGGTGAAGATGCTGAATATTGCAAAATCAACTAGAATAGTATTATGTTCCATCCTGTGAAACAACGTACATTGTATAAATGCTATAAAGTTTATTAAATTTAAGAGGTTGCTTTAGTCCTTCACAATGTCTGAAGATATTAATTGAATTAAGTAAACCATAAAAAAGATGTACTCTAAAGTGCTCTGTGGACTAATTTGGCTTATATCCTGTGAAATAATGTACGTTGTATAAATGCCACAAAGTTTATTAAATTTAAGAGGTTGCTTTAGTCTTTCACAATGTCTGAAGATATTGATTGATTTAAGTAAACCACAAAAAGATGTACTCTAAAGTGCTCTGTGGACTAATTTGGCTTATATCCTACCTCAAAGAAAATGTGGGCTTATTTGAAGTTTTTCCTGTATCACTCTAGTTCATCCCGATTTATTGTCATTCCAACTCTTCAAACATAATCTTGCAAGAAAAAAACCAAATCACAATTTAGCTTCACACAAAAAAATTACAGACATTTTCCTTGTGCTGTTGATATCACTAAGTGAGATAATGCTTCCCGTGCTGTCTGACACATCTTATTCATAATGTGAGTACTAATATAACCTAATATTTGGATGCCTGGATATTTCCTTGGTATTTGTCACCAATATTGGTCAATGTTCAGTCAGAAAAACTGGATTAAATATTTTAAACATATGTGAATGAAAATTTTTCCAATGAGTGAGAGGGTAAGAGGCAAAACTTTGAAGACATCTTGTAAAGGAGGAGTTACAGAAGGTAAGATTGATGTTTATGTTTTCATTGTTACAGTTTTATTTATAGAAGGTATTTTTTTCATTTAGTTATAATTACATGTTATACAATGTTAAAGAAGAATATAGAATTCTTGTCACTGACGTACCAGTTTTTTCCGAAGTGTGCCTGAGGAAGGTAAGTTTTATTAGACATCTAAAATGTTGCAATCTATAAGCAATAATTTTCCCCACTTCGGAGTACTGTTGGTGACAAAATTTCTCCTAAATATATTTTTCTCAATATTGTATCTTTCATCTATGATCTAAACAACTGATCTCCATATGAATCACCTATCTTTGTTACCTGTTAGTGGCAGAAACTTGGGCAAATCATTTCACGCTAGTGTCTCAGGTTAGGAAAGATGATATCCATTGGTGTTTTTTAAACTATGAGTCATGATCTCATTCCTGTGCCACACCAGTAGTTTTATAAAATAAAATGTAGCTGACAAAATTTGAATACAAAATGTAGAGGACAAGACACATGACAAAGCTAGTTTGTAAATTTTGTTTCAGTTTTAAACACATGTACATATACTACGTGACAATGCAAAACATATTCCTTTAGTATGAGTTGCAGGAAAAAGAAGTTTGAAAAATATTGTTCTCAAGAATCATCAGCCCATTCTAACTCAAAAATGAAATTACTCTATTTTCCAGCTTAGAAATTCTGAAAATGATGACTTTTAACTCAGTGTCATATGGCTTACCACTTGACAGACAATAGTAGCTAGCTATGGGATATTTAGTTGAAGTGATTAGAAAATATGTATTCCCTCAATTAGTTGTAACCTTTAAAAACCATTGCAAGGCTTTAAAAAAGAGCTCCTTGGGCTTTCCTAGAGGCTTTAGACCCCTCAAACAAATCAACAAAATGTTAAGTGTCAATAATTTTGTGAAAATATTAAGTGGCTCTTGTCCGCAACGTATTTTAGTAAGCACTGAGAGATATAAAAATGAACTGGTATGGTCGCTGAATTCATTGAATTTATAATTTTTAGGAAAGTATTGGCTATAAAAAGAAAACATCCTATGCTTAACTAGAGTTCATATGTGTACTGTTAAGAAATGTTATTCTTAATAATCATTAATACAAGCTGTCATTTTTAATCTGACTCATTCATTCAAAAAACATTTTTACTGTCTCCAGGTGTTTTTCTAGGCTTGATGTTCCAAGGTTAAAATAACAAAGTTGGTACTCTGAAGCAGCTTAAAGTGGTGTAAAATACAGAAAGTAAGCAAGTAAACAAACAAAAAATCCAATAGTGATAAGTGTCATGATGATGGATAGGCATTACCTAAGGGCTACTTTTTATTGGATGGTCAAGAGAGGTCTATGAGTACATACATTTAAAACTGAGATATGAATGACAAAAGGAAGATGGTTTCTAGGAAAAGGAAACAGCTGGGCAAATGCCAGATACAAGGCAGATAGAATCTTGGTCTGTTTGAGGAATAGGAAGTAGACGAGAATGGCTGCGGGCTAGTGAGGAGAGATAGAATAGTAAGAGATGAGGTAGGAGAGGTTGACAGATGTCACCTGGCTGAGTAAAGCCTTGTAAACTATGGTAAAGTGTTTGAAGTATATTTTTATTGCCATGGGGAGCCATTCGAGGCCTATCATCAAGGGACTTCTGTAGTCTGATTTTTTTTTTATTTTTTTTTTTAAGACTAGTAGCATTGTTGTATTAAAAAACCAGATTTTACACAGCAAGAATGAAACAAAGGTGGCTAGGAAACTATCACAATCATTCAGGAGAGACATGGTTGTGACTTAGATTAAGGAAGTAGCAATAGATATGAAAAGCAGATGAACTTTGGGAAGTGCAATATAGAATTTGCTGATAGACTAGATATGGGGAGTGGTGTCAAAAAAAGGAATCAAAGGTACTTCCAATAATTTTAACTTGTACAACTAGGTAAATGATTTCCTCACCTATGACGGGGAAAAGCAAGGTGGGAATGTGCAAGGTAACAGCAGGAATCCAGAGTTCTGTGTGGGCTATGTTAACTTTGAGATGCGTATCAGCTAGCCATCTGAGTATGTCAAGCAACCAGACTAGGTTTTGGGAAGGTTTATCAGTTTGGGACTGATCAGCATATAAACAGTATTTCTAGACATAGGATGGTACTTCCATGAGAGTGCCACGCTGGGGCTTTAGCTGCAGCATCTGTTTTCATCTTGATTAACAACACAAGGTCGTTATTTTCTTTTTATACAGATAATATTAGATTTTTATATATGAGCCTTTTTGATGTTTAGAGAGAAATACAAGCTGAAAGTCACCCAGCTACTAAAAGGTAGAGCCTGGATTAAGATCTGGGAGTTCTTGTTCTTCCTGTTGCACCAGGTTGCTTTATTGGAGCATTAAAACAAGTGAATTTCTGAGTAGAGTATTTTTTAACTTTTTGAATGAAAGATTTTTAAAAAGTCTGTTTAGAAAGAATGCCAGCTCATTCAGAATTCAATCCAAGCGTATAAATTCACTAGTCTTTTCTGTTGTTAAGTGACTTCTCTGGGGTAGATGACCTGATGTCTTTTTTTTCCTTTTTTAAACAAACAAAAAAACTTCTGTGGTTGACAGGAGCCGACAGGTGAGGAATGGAGAGACGTTGGTCAACTAGTACACACTTTTGGTTGTAAGATGAATATGTTCTGGAGATCGAATGTACAGCATGGTGACTATAGTGATAATTCTGTATTGTACACTTTGAAGTTTGCTGAGATTTTTAAGTGTTCTCACCACACACACACGTACGGGAAATATGTACGGTGACGGATGTGTTAATTAGCTTGCTTGTGGTAATCATTTCACAATGTACATTTACATCTAATCATTACTTTGTATACCTTAAATATGCACAATTTCTGTCCATTATACCTCAAAAAAGCTGAGAAAAAAAAACCCTCCACTCTTTTGACTTGTGGGATACGATTATTTCTACTTCTCAGATCAAATGCCCCTTCTTCACTGACCCATAACTCATGGCTGCATTGCAGTGATTTTTAGTTTTTCCTCAGCTTACATATTCCTCCTCTACAATCTCATGTCCCCCTTGCTTCAAATACTAAATATATGCTTATCATCCTCAAATTTTTTGCCTCCTGTCCAAACACTTCTCCTTAAGTCTAGGAGATGACGTTCAAAGTTTCCTAAAAGCAATTAGTCTGGTGGGAAAGGAGGCTGCCCCATACACCCAGGAGTAATGAGGAGCGAAGTTCAGGAACTGTGAAGGTCTCATTCTTACATACTCGCGACAGTTTCAAACCTAGTGTGGTATGCAGACATGGATGAAGCAGTTACAGGCAGGAGGAGCGTTAAAGAAGGGTACAAGCTAGCACGAGGGCATTCAAGGGAACTTCAAAGCTCAAAGGAAGAATCCCACTTACTCCCTCAAAACTTTGGAGTTTATCCGTTTAGTCGATTAAAAAGTGAACGGAAAGCAAATCCCATTAGGGCAGGAGGAAAGTTGGGGACAAATAAGGAATTCGTGCAGAAGGCTACACTGCGGCCGGCCAAGAAGAGAATAAGGGTACTTAAAGGAGTGTGAAGAGAATGAACACGCCTACGCAGAAAAAAACTGAAAAGCCAGGATTGGCGGACACTAAGAACCCAGCATTAAAAAAAAATCCACGGCAAAAAACACAAACAAAAACAAAACACACACGCACATACACACACAACAAAACACTCACACACACATACCCCTACCCCTCAAGCCGAGCCAGCACCGTCGCCCTGCCGGCAGCCAGAGTATTCTCAGATTCCGGGAGCACCGCGCACCGCCCACCTCGCTCCGCCCACTGTCCAGTTCGCTCCGCCCATCTTGTTCCGCCCCCTTCCCCGAAAGCCCCTCCGCAGAGCCGCGTGCACGTGTGTGGCAGATACCGCCCCCACAGCTCTCTTGACCAATGAGAAAAAGCAACGTAACTCTCCACGGCCCGGTGGAGCGTCACGTGACTGCGTCTCCCCGCCCTCTCACCCCGCTGCTTCTAGGTTCTGGGAAGATGGCGAAGGTCTCAGAGCTTTACGATGTCACTTGGGAAGGTAACCTCGGGTGGGGACGGGTGCGGAAAGACTAAAAGCGCTGGGAAGCCGTTCGGGAGTACCCGCTGCCTTCGGAGAGCTGGATTCGCCGGTCTCTTTTTGGTACCAGAGCCCTCAGTGGACGGGCCAAGCTGAGGTGGAGGCTGAGGCTGACCCCTTGGCCCAGGCGCGTACTCCGCGGCGTTTCCCACGGTGTCTGCTCATCGGTTGACCTGCCCTCCCCCGCGCCAGTCCAGCGGCCCAGGGCCGCTTTTATTTATGAGGCGGGCGGGAGGGACTTGGGGCTAGGGTTGTCACACTCTAAGCGTGGTTGCTGGGCGGTGCGGAAGAGGCGGAATAGGTGGTTACTGAAGCTTCTTTGGAGCCAAGAAACACAGGGCCTCTAAGGCCCTTTACTAAGTGCTATGTGAGGATTACAGCTCTTTGCAGAAAAGCTGTGTAGAAGTTGCGTGAACAAATGTGATTCTCATATGCCACTCTACATTTAGTTTTCTCCTTAAACCTGGATTTCCAGTTTCTTTTCCTTTTAGTCTAGTCTCTGTCCCTCTCCATCTCAAAACACGTTTACACACACAACACAACTTCCTTCTTACTCCCTACTAGTAGATTTTTTTCTGAAGGGAAAAATAACTGATTAACTCTGGTGTACGTACGTGCTTACGTGTGATGGTCACTTTTCCCTATCCTTAGTTGATCTAGAGTGGGATATATTCTTTGAATCTGGGAACAGCCAAACCTTGGATCAATTCTGTGTGCTTAAGAAACTTGAGTTTCATTAAGGCGTGGAATTTGTGTAATTGGAATTCATATTTCCAGCATTTAGCATAATACAGGAGACTTCAGTAGCTAGTTTGTTCAACGAATGCCTTCTTGGGATGTTTTAATAATGACCTGAAAACGTGAAAGTTATATTTTCTGTTTTATCGTGAATAAATGTATCAGGTATTATAAAGTTGTAAATCCGTTACAAATAAAGCAAAATTCCTTTATACTTGAACTGAATTAAATGATTTGTTGGCTTTGCGGCCTCTAGCACGTTGTGAATCTCAGTATTTATACCTGAATTGAGGGATTCCATTATATTAAACAACAGTGTTGATTTCTTAGTGCAAAATCTTGGATCTATCAACACACAGTCCATACTTCCAAGAAATTCACAATCTAATGGAGAAAACAAACCTATAAACACAGTTTTGAAAGGCTTGTGTCAGGGTATCTTCCGTAAGCTGGATGGTAGATAAATGGCTGTTATTTTTAATGCTTTTAAAAAACTGTTTTAAATATTATATAATTTTTAGAAAGTGCTATTATGAAGGTATGTTCATTATAGCTTTCCTAGATGATAGTAGCATATGTAAAATCCTGAGGGGCGAGTAGCTGTATGCTACCAACAGACAAGGTGATTTAACTGAGTAACTTGTACCTTACCCTGTGGTCATTCTAAAGAGGATTGATGTAATTGATTTGGAATAAATAATTACTACACAAATTTGTAGGAATAAAAGAGAAACATTTTTAAGTGTTTCGTAAACTGTTAAGTACTATATAAAAGGAGGTGTTATTATTAGCTAGTACTAATATGATTATGTCCCTCCTCTGTGATCTGGCCGTTGTCCGTGTCTCCACCTTTATTTCGAGCCATTCTCCCTCTCTCTCTGTGAGCTGCCTATGCTTGCCTTTGTTGAATGCCCAAAATTGCTATGCTGCTTCTTAAAGCTGGCACATGCTAGTCCTTCCACTGGGAGTGTTCTTCCCTCCTTGCCTCACTCTTGCCCCCATTAAACTTTATCATTTTATCAATTCCCCACAAAACTCACCTAGTACAAAAAAGCCTTAGTTGAACACTCTACTGCCCAATTCCCTTTCCTCATCTCCCACCAAAATTGAAAAAGAAAAAACCCAAACAACAAAATCAAGCAACAAAACACACCTGTAATCCTTCGATTATATATTCTGTTCTCATACTATTGAAGCACTTACCCAATTGTGCTTTTAAAATTTTGTCTCTTCTAAGATGAAAGGGACCAGGCCTGTTTCTTCACTGTCACTTCCCTAGAGCCTGACACATGGGGACGGAGCTCAGTAATTATTTGTTGACTAAATGAATTGTTAGTGGGATTAATAATAAACACTAACACATTGTCAGAAAATACTATAAACCATTTTTCTAGCGTTGAAATAATTTCTTTAGTATCTTAGATAAAGATTTCAATATCTTAGATGAAATTAGGCAACTTGCTTAAGTAATAGGATACAGTGTGCTCACTAGTAAAGTGAAGGTTTAGACCTTTCCAGAATTAAAATTCTAACTTAAGGGACTTTTAAGAAAAGAGTATTCTAGATTTTTATTTCAGAGACTTATGATAACAAATTTTTAGGATGAAGGGTGATGGAAAGATTCTCAGGGATAGTGTTTTCAGATTTTTTGGGGGCGTGTGTGTCAGAGGTGTGTCCTTAGGAATTCCACTGAACAGTGTTGTGAATTGGTTAGTTCAGAGTGCTATAATTCTTGTGATAGGAAAATTTATCATTTGTTTATAAAAGACCTATGTAGTAAGTTTAACACTTCCACATCTGTGTTAGACTCTACTAATAGACTATTTGGTTTGTTTCTTCAGCCAGTTGAAAGTGATTAATACTTATTACGTAGGGAAGTTATTAGACATTTGGAGGTGGGAAAGAGAATTTAGACTTGTAAGGAGAGTATATTCAAGTTTCTTGAGAATATGATATTTGGGCAGGACATGGATAGAATGCCTAGAACAATGCCAGGCACATAATAGGCATTAAATGAGTGTTGAAAACAAAAAATGTATGAGAAATGTTTGAGAGCAATTTAGTTGTTTATGTTCACTGCCCCTACTTCCTCTCTTTTTATTCAGACCTTCAACCTCAATTTGATTTCCATGCCCTACCACTCCACTAAGATCTCTAGGAGACCTAATAATAACATGTATTTTGTATACTTCTACTACTTTTGCTATTGTAGATCACTCCTCTGTGGAAAACTCTTTGCTTTCTTAATGACATTCTTCTTGTTTTCTCCTTTCTTTTTGGGCCTTTCCTTTGTTGAGTTCTCTACATCCATTTGCTCATTTTTTGGTGTTTCAGTGTTTCTTAGTCATCGTCTTAATCTGTTATTGGTGGTTTTTAAGTTTGAGATCAATAGACTTTAAATTGATGCAAGCGTAAGTGTCATATGGTCTGATGAAATCGTGCAAAATTTAGTGCATGGGTAAACATACATAGTTCTGGGAAAAGATGGTTCAAAGTTCTCATTAGCTTTGAAGATACCTAAAATAGATTAAATGGTATCTGTGGGCAATCTTATCCACATCCAATTTTAGCTATCAGTTAGCCTATATAGTAAATAACACATTAAACATATATTTGAGTACTTTGCACCAGGCACTGTTGTAGTTCTTGAGGGTATAGTGCTAAGTAAGACAGGCAAGGCCCCAGATTTCAAGGGACATACCCTGAAATTTCACTTGTAAACTGAAGATCCATATTTCCAGTGTTCTACAGGGCACATGTAATGGATGTTTCACAATTAACAAAACTCAAAACTGAACTCATCATCTTCCTTTTGCCTTCTGACTCCAACATCACTGCTGTCACCACTTAATTCTTTTCTGCATTTTCCCTAGAAATGTAGATAACACTGTGTACCTCCCCTCATTCATAAAACAACTTCTGCTCACCTTTTAAGATACAGATCTATGAGACTTCAAAGCCTGGAAAGTACAGATATGTATGGGAATGAAGTATATGCTTTGCAACGTCACTAGACGTTTCCAGTAAAATGTCTTTCTAGGTAAACTAGAAAGGTAGGTAAAAACTAGAAAGGTAGGTTGGTGTCTTGAATGCTAGACTAAGGAGTTCAGAATTCTTTTTTGTATATAGATGGGAGGCAAGGTCCTAAATTCAAAAAGAAAAAAATCAATGACTCCTTTCATTAAACTTTTGCATGTTGATATAGAATAGGGCCTTTTCTGTGGTAGAGATCTGCTGATTGAAATTCCTTGTCATGTTTAATAAACCATGTTTGGTTTTGCTTTCTTTAATGTGGAGCAGGAACATAAAGTCCCTAATACAGAAGCTTCAGTGCATAAATCTTTTAGATTTTTGTTATTTTTCTCATAATATTTTAAATTAAGTCTCCATATTTAATATGACAGCAGTTTTTCAGAGCTATTTACTTTTATGGAGTCTTTTCAAAGCATCCAACTTTGTTTTTTAGAAACCAGTCTCTTTTCGCACTTAAGTTTTCTTTGGCTTATAATATTTCATTATACTATATAATTACATTAAATTTAACTGGCATGAACTGGTTTGGATACAGGTAGCTAAATTTTTAAAATGTAATAACTGTTGGAAACAGTTAACCAAGAGCTAGCTGATATGACTTATTAGCTAAGAGCTTCTAAAATCTTAGTGGCCACGATTATTAAGTTTTGCAGAAAGCAATTCTTTGAGTTGATTCTAACCAGAAGATGATTAAAGAGAATTTTTACTGAACCTCATTAATCTCTCCATCATATTTTAATTACTTGTTTACATTCTTTACACACAGAGATCTTCTCAGTCCTTCCGTTGACCAGCCATAGTGGTGAGAATCAGAAAACAAGCTCTCAGTAAATGCTCGTTTGTTCAGTGGGTGAATGCTAGGACATGAAGCTTGTTTTTGAAGTTTGACCCACTAGTGTATGTAGTAATGGTAATAATAATGAAAATAGTATATGAAACATTTTGTGTACGTTGTCTCTTTTAATCCTCACACGTATCTTATGAAATAGGCTTTATTTCCAGTTTATAGATGAGGAAGCAAGCGAGAGGTGAAATGACTTATCTAATATCCCACAGCTAGTAAAAGGGAGTCCTGTGATTTGAGCTGCTCTTATACACTTCTCCCCCACTGAGTTATTAACTAATTAAGTTCTTCCACCTAGGCTGTCATTCTGTTATTCTTGGAATATGCCAGATTAGTTTCTTTCTCCAGAATTTAGATTTGCTGTTTATGGTTGGCTCCTTCTCATTCCTCTCTTGGCTTAAAAATGACCTTCTTAGAGAACCTTCTCTGACCACCCTTTCCAAAAGCTCCTCCTTTCTCCCAGTCTCCTAACTTTATCATATGGTCTTTTAGTTTTATTTGTGTAATTTCACTATCTGAAGTTATGTGGATTTTCATCTTTTTACCTATTAGACTCTAAGCATTATGAGTATATAGGATATCTTTTTCTTTCTTTATCCTCAATGCCCAGATCAGCCTGACACGTAGTAGGCATTTAGTAAATATTAGTTGAATGAAGAAGAACAATATTTACTCCAAGAAGTATTAGTTGAATAATGAAGTAAAGTTCCAGTCATACACTATACTGCCTCAAAGAAGGTAGAAATCATTAGATATCTTAAGAATTTAAATTATAATGAAGTAAATCTTTAGAACTGTCTGCTAGTAATTTACAGATTGAATTCGGGTGGAGAGATCAGTTTGGAAGCTATCCTAGCAGTTTTAGCATGGGATGATGAAAGCCTGGGCATGGATAATAGCAGTGGAAATAGACTAGAAGATGTAAATCTTAGAAATACTTCAAAAGAGTCTACAGGACTTAGATAACCAAAGTAGGAGTCAGAAACAGCATTCAAAAGTGGAATGTCAGGTAGTATTAACAGAAAGTAGAATTAACAGAAATGTGAACATTGGGAAGGGAAGCCATATTTTTGGGAATTGAAGATGACTTGATTTTCGGATGCTGTGATTTTGAGGTAATGAACTATCAAAGGTGAAAACGTGTTTTCTTCAAGACAGTTTTATTTTTATGAATAACTTTTTAGATAAATGTACTTAAGGCATTTCTAAAAATAGTATGTGACTAATAGTGCAACAAATGTATTTATTATAGCAGCACTCAAGAGTGTGGCAGGGTCAGCTAAGTAAGGTATGTAGCTTAAGGTGTTTATAGGTAAAATGTTGCTTGTTTTGTAAAAGTTATATTTTCATACACAAACAGTGTTTCTTGTTTTGTGTTCAGCTATTATATTTTAATATGTTTGTGACTGTGTATCAGACTGTTGTTTTTAGAAGTTATACTTTAAAAAAGTGTTCTCTTTCCTCCAAGAGTGTTTTTCCACAATGAGAAATACCTTTTACAAATTAACTCGTAGTCAATTAAGTATACATATACATGAATCTTTGAGTGTATGTATAAACTGAAACCAAAGTTTCATTTACAAACTATTCTTATGAGTATTGCATTCTGTTCATTTTGTTTCATTCTCCCCTGCACTCCCTTCCCTACCAATATATTCTGGAAGAAATCCACTAAATTGATTTTATACCTTATTAATGGATTGTAATACACAGTTTGAAAAATACTTCTCCTGGAGCTCTGTGTGCATTAAAATAACGCTTTCCTTTTTCAAATCAGATTGCCTTTTCTTTTGGAATAGCTGTTCCCAACAGCCTGCAGCCAATCTGACTAGATACTTTTATGGGACTATGAATAATTTAGAATTTATTATCCTGTAGTTATCAACCTTTTAAAAGAATATACTGGTTTATGTAAATGAATCTGTAAGTGGTATTTCTGAATATATAACAAAATAAAGTGGAAAAGATACAGGATTGGCGGAAGTCGTTTTGGACTAAAGAAATCAGCAGAATTAAGTAGCTGACATATTTTTCCATCTTTCAGAGGTCACCTCACTGCAGTGGCGCCTCATGCAAGTTGTCATGGAAGGAATAAACAGAACAATCATAGCCACTCTCTTAACCTTTGACCTTTAGCTCATCCCACAGGGTTGCACAGTAGTTAATAAAATGTACAAGCAAGCAGTGAGCAGCTTACTTACATAGTATGTAATAAAATGACCTTGGCTTTGAGGAGCAGGCCTTTTGCAGGAGGGTGAAAGGGTAAAATGAAAATTTTAAGCCACCTTTGAGGAAAGAGTGAGGGAAGAGCCTTTATTTCTTTTGAGAGACTGAAACAGTTATCAGATTTTTTTTTTTTTAAATAAAGATGACTAGAATTTTTGTAGGACTTCACATTTTATAAAATGCTTTACATGAATTTTCTAGTATTTGGTTTCCTAAACTCAAGGGCCAAGCAGATGAGGAAAATACATGTAGCTGGGTGAAAGACAGTAGTGGTGCCTATGAAGAACTGGTAAGTGTATATACCCTTATCTAAGGGTAATCAAAATCAACTTAAAAATATCCAAACTGTTGTACTAACCAAGCAACTTTATATATATGTATATTTTATGTAATCTTAAGTGCTCATCCCTGAGCTAAAGGTAATCCTATCTATTCATTGTTATTGGAAACTAAGTACAGATTCAGTAAGTTATGTAAGGTCATGTAAAAGATGGAGTTTAGATTCAAACCAAGTGTATCAAGTCCATGTTCTTTCCAGTAGACTCTCCATCCTCCATGACCGGTGATATGGTTTAGCTGTGTGTCCCCACCCAAATCTCATCTTGTAGCACCCATAATTCCCATGTGTTGTGGAGGAGACCCACTGTGAGATGATTGAATCATGGGGACAGGTCTTTCCCATGCTATTCTCATTATAGTGAATGGGTCTCACAAGATCTGATGGTTTTAGAAATGGGAGTTTCTCTACACAAGCTCTCTTTCTTTGCCTGCTGCCATCCACTTAGGATATGACTTTTTCCTTGCCTTCCGCCATCATTGTGAGACCTCCCCAGCCACGTGGAACTGCAAGTCCAGTTAAACCTCTTTCTTTTGTAAATTGCCCAGTCTCAGGTGTGTCTTTATCAGCAATGTGAAAACGGACTAATACCACCGGTTTCTTTTCTTTGAACTGTTTACTCCTTTCCAGTTTATCTTTTGGGGCTTTTTGTTTTTGCTTTTGTTTCAAATTTATTTATTTTTAAAATTGACACATAAAATATAAAATTCTAGGTTTTTTTTGGTTTTTTTTTTTGCGTCAGAATGATTTTCCTGTCAGACAGCTATGATTGTGTTGCTTTTCTTTTGCTCAGTATTTTTTAGTTGTTCTGTACCTTTAAAAACAAACTTAAAAGTTCTTTAGTATAAAATAAACGTCTTCCAAGAAACTCACTCACCTTCTTGTACACTCATTTCCTGATCCTAGTGTGTTTATTTAATTCTGAACTACCAGTAGTTCTTTCTGTGTAGGATAACTTACTTTGTTATTTGCCTGTTGTCGTTTTTCAACTTTTAAGAGACGGGGGTCTTGCTCTGTTGCTCAGAATGGAGTGCAGTGTTGCAATCACAGCTCACTGCAGCCTCAACCTCCAGGCTCAAGTGATCCTCTCACATCAGTCTCCTGAGTAGCTGGGACCACAGGCAGGTGCCATCATGCCTCTTTTTTGTTGTTTTTTTGTTTTGTTTTGTTTTTGAAACAAAGTCTTGCTTTGTCACTCAAGCTGGAGTGCAGTGGCATGATCTCGGCCCACGCAACCTCCACCTCCTGGGTTCAAGCTGTTCTTTCTCAGCCTCCTGAGTAGCTGGGATTACAAGTGCGTGCCACCACAGCTGGCTAATTTTTGTATATTTAGTAGAGACAAGGTTTCGCCATGTTGGCCAGGCTGGTCTTGAACTCCTGGATCAAGTGATTCTTCTGCCTTGGGCTCCGAAAGTCCTGGCATTACTGACATAAGCCACCATGCCTGGCCCATTCATCACTTCTAAAGATAGTCGTAATACCAGTTGTAATGCTGTTTCAGCCTTCTAAAGGATCTGTTGCCTTTGTTCAGTTAATTTTCTACTTTATCAAATTTGAGCTACCACAGACTTCTACATGATTGTGAGTTTATTTTCCTTACCTAAAAAGTTGATTTTGTCTTGTCAGGTTTTTGACATCTATCTGGTGTGTATGCGTGTGTCTGGGTACATATACACTTAAATGTCATGTTACTTTTTTCAGAAATGCGAGATAAAATGAGAAAATGGAGAGAAGAAAACTCACGAAATAGTGAGCAAATTGTAGAAGTTGGAGAAGAATTAATTAATGAATATGCTTCTAAGCTGGGAGATGATAGTAAGTTCTTTTATTACATTCAGGCTCAGTACATGTCTCATTTATGGGCCTTTTTTTTTTTTTTTTTAACTGTTCTTTCATTTATGATTTTTCTACTTGTCATGTTTTTTTTTTTTGTGACTTTTCGTCCCAAGACTTTTAATCATAGTTTATTTTGAGATGGATTTATAATTGCTTGGTAGTAGTAAGCTATCAAATAGGCATTTTGTTTTAAAGCTCAAAGGGCTGCCAAATGTCTGACCGAAATGTATTGTCTAAGGACTCTTGTAGAACAGTAAAAGTATTAAATCATTGGAGAGTTTAATCTTATATTAACATATTTTACACTGCTGAAACATGTAAGAATGCGTTCTTTCCTTAGTTTCAGAGATAATACAATAAATCAATTTTCAGTTGTAAGTAATATTTTCTAGAAATATCAGAAACTAGAATTCATTAATTTCCATTTGTTTTATTTTTTAATATTAAATTTAGTTTTTTTCCCACCTCTGTATGTTTCTAGTTTGGATCATATATGAACAGGTGATGATTGCAGCACTAGACTATGGTCGGGATGACTTGGCATTGGTAGGTATTTAAATGAGGTATATATTTAATTTGCTTCATGAATTGTATACCGTAGTTAAGACTTAATGTATGGCTTATATGGAATGCTTTCTATAGCTGGTTTTGAGTGCTACTCTGAACAGTAAGTGGAACTAACTGGGTATTTTAGGACAAAGTATCTTAAATCTTTTTATTAGTCCTGAGAAGTAGCTGTTTAGTATCCTAGCTTTACTGAAAAGATTTAGTTACTGAAATTTGTCTGCTTAGTAGGTAACTTATCCTATTTTATAGAGTTTAAAGTAAGAAAGTTTAAAACAATTTTATCTTTTGTGTTATTGAATGACTTTCATAGAATGTAATGTTCAATACTATTACACAATGTTATAAACATATCTGACATAAGAAAATCCTGATGTATAGAACATAACTTAAAATACTAATAATATTTGGCCAGGTGAGGTGGCTCACGCCTGTAATCCCAGCACTTTGGGAGGCCGAGGCAGATGGACCACCTGAGGTCAGGAGTTCAAGACCAGCCTGACCAATGTGATGAAACCCCCATCTCTACTAAAAATACAAAAAATTAGCTAGGTTTGGTGGAACATGCTTCTAGTCCCAGCTACTCTGGGGGCTGAGGCAGGAGAATCGCTTGAACCTGGAAGGCAGAGATTGCAGTGAGCTGAGATTGTGCCACTGCACTCCAGCCTGGGCAACAGAGCAAGACTCCGTCTCAAAACAAACAAACCTAATACTATAGTTTTTAAAATAACACTGTAATGATAGCTATGTTTTTGGACTTGTGCTAGGAACGAAGCTAAATGCTTTACTTCATGCTTTTATTGAGCCTTCATAATTATTTATTGATTTGATTTGTGTTTGATGTTATATTTATTTTATAAATCAGAAAGTAGAGGCGTCTGTTCTGTTGTTCCTATCATCTTGAATTCTTAAGTACCACTTCATGCTGCCTCTGTATTTAAACTGAAAGAAAATATACAAAAACAAAAAATTGAAATACCTGAAAAAAATTCACATCTGAATTAGTATTATCCTTTTCAAGGTTGGGTTGGCCATACATGTAAATCTAGTGGAGCTGTTAGTGGTGAAAACATTCCACAAAACCTTTGTTGGATTACCTTCAGAACCTATGAGACATAGTCTTTTGAATATTCATAGAGGTGGCAGTTTTATATCTTGAGAGAAGTTTTTATTTTTATTTTTTTGAAATAGCCAAATATCACTTAATAAAGTAGGAAGTCAAATTAGAAAACACTGTTGATTAATAAAGCAGTATATCCAGTTAAACAGTAACTTTTTTATGGTTAAGATTATTTATACAGTTAGCTTGCTTGACTGACCAAGTAATATGATTTTGCTTGATATCAAAAAAATAAATGAACACATCTTCACTTTTGACTAACTTGAATATTTTTCTTACTGTGGCAAATTTCAGCCACAAACTTTGAGGCTGTATTTCCAATTCATATTAAAACTTATTTTATTACCAGTTAATAGTTTCATCGGTAGTTAATAGCATTATTTTGGTCACACATGCATTAATATGCTTCAGTGGACCATTTGTATAATCTTTAACATTTCTAGGACTTCCAAAACTTATAATCCTTCATATGTTGCAGAGAATGTACTCAGTAAATATTTGATTATTTAGTCAAGTTGATGAGTCAGTTATGGATACTTGTTCAAAAAAATTGGTATTCCATCCGTTTAGTGTCTGCATTTTCTGACCCCCAAATCAGGATATGTTGTTTGAAAGGATGATTGATTGACTGGGTGCAGTGGCTCACGCCTGTAATCCTAGCACTTTGGGAGACTACCGCAGGTGGCCACTGCAGGTGGATCACCTGAGGTCAGGAGTTCGTGACCAGACTGGCCAACATGTTGAAACCCCGTCTCTACTAAAAATACAAAAATGAGCTGGGCGTGGTGGCAGGCGCCTGTAGTCCGAGCTACTTGGGAGGCCGAGGCAGGAGATTCGCTTGAATACGGGAGGTGGATTTTGTAGTAAGCCAGGATCGTGCCACTGCACTCTAGCCTGGGTGACAGAGTGAGACTCCATCTCAAAACAAAAAAAAAGGAAGGTTGATGGATTAATATAAAATTTCAACAGGGCAAAATTAAACACTTAATGTTATTTGCTAGGAACTTGAGATGACTACTAAAAAACTTAGTTCCTACCAGTAGAATGCTTATGCTGCAATTAGGAAGAAAATGCCAAGTGCTGTTATCATTTAAGTAGGAGCCTGACACATAGTAGTAGTTTTTAAGGAGGAATAATATGATATTAGTACTTGAAGAGTTATTAGCGGTTCTCATAATCTGCTTATTTTCCTGGTTAAGAGCATGATCAGTTTCTAAACTGATTGTTGCCTTCACTGTAATGTCGTAGTTCTTCTTTCAATCCATTGTTACTGATTAATTTTACTTCATGTTATTAGATGACACTAATGAAATTATTCAAGAAAACACATTGAAGACTACATAGGCCATTCATTATAGCCCATTTAGTATAAATAATGTAATCACTACTCAACTCTTGTTTTTTTTCAGTTTTGTCTTCAAGAGCTAAGAAGACAGTTCCCTGGCAGTCACAGAGTCAAGCGATTAACAGGCATGAGATTTGAAGCCATGGAAAGGTAACCAAATCTTGTCAACAGTGTGATCCTATTAAAACTGGCAGGCATGGAGCTTATTAATCATGGTGGTGTTAATTTTTTTTTTTTATTTCAAACATTCTAGAGTGTGTGAAGTACTGTCTTTTTTTTTTTTTTTACGTTTTTTGATGACTAATGACGTTGAAAACCTTGTCATGTCTGCTTAGATATTCAAATAACTTCTTTTTGAAGTATATTCTTTAGTCTTTACCCATTTGAAAAATTGGGTTGTTTCACCTTTTTTACTGCTGATTTGTGGGAGGTCTTTATATATTCTGGATAAAAACTTTGTCAGATATATGTGCTGTGAATATTTCTCCCTATTCTCCTGCGTGAATATTTTATTTTCTAAATGGTGCCTTGTGAAGTAGAGAAGTTTTTAATTCCGATGAAGTTTAGTTTATCATGTATTTTTAATCGTTAGTGATTCTTTTGTCCTGTCCAATAATTGTTTTCTAATATCTCAACAATATTCGGTAGTGTTTTCTAGACAGTAGGAACAGTTAAATTATGATTATTTTTAGTTCGTAAGAGTGCTTTCAGACTATTTTTCTTTTTGCTGTCTTTTAAAATTTTATTTTCAGTACTTCTGGATGATTGTGCTGTACAGTTCAACTGTGTCCTTATATTCTGCCTATTATGTCTATTACTAACAAAGGAGTATGGAAGTCTCCAACTTTAATAGTGGATTCATCTATTTCTCCTTGCAGTTCTATTAGTTTTTGCCCCAAATATTTTGATGTTCTGTTGTTCGTCACATAACATTAAAGGTTGTTGCATTTTTCTTGAGAATGAGCCCTTTATATTATGTAATGCCCCTCTTATATCCCTACTTATTTTCCTTGTTCTGAAGTCTGCTTTGTGTGAAATTAATATAGCTCCTGAGCTTTCTTTTAGTTAGTGTTAACAGCATATCTTTCTCCTTCCCTTTATTTTTATTCTGTTGTATCTTTGTATTTTGAGGGTTTTGTGTAGACAGCGTTTAGTTGGGTCATGTTTTTAAATCCACTTTGATAGTCTCTGTCTTTTCATTGGTATACTTAGACCATTTACATTTAAAGTGATTATTAATATAGTTGTTTCATTATCTGCCATATTCATAACTATTTTCTATTGATTGCTCTTATTTTTTCTTTTGTCATTTTTCTGCCTTCTCTGATTTAATTGAGCATTTATAGAATTTCATATTTTCTCTCTCTCAGTATATCAGTTACACTTCTTTTTAAATTTTTTAAATAGCTGTCTGAGAGATTGCAATGTATATTTAGAACTATCTAAGTCCACTTTTTAGTAACACTATACTGATACACAGTTAGGGCAAATCCCTTACAACAGAGTATTTTTAATTCCTCTCTTTTGTCATTTGTAGCACTGCTTTCATTCATTTCACTTATTCATAAATCATAATCACCAAATACATTTTTGCTGTTACTATTTTGAGAAAACTTATCTGATCAATTAAGAATAAGAAAAAAATTTTATTTTACCTTTATTTATTCATTTTCTAATGATCTTTAAAAAAACATATATTAGAAACTTCCAAAGGTTCTAACCAATATTATTTTCCTTTTCTCTGAAGAGCTGCTTTTAACATTTCTTGAAAGGCAGGTCTGTTGACAGCAAATTGCTTTAATTTTTGTTTGTCTGGAGTATATTTCTCCGTCACAGTTAATGGACAGTTTCTCAGGATACAGAATTCTAAGTTGGTTTTCTCTCAGAATACTTTAAATATTTCCCTTTACTCTTTTCTTGTTTGCATGGTTTCTGAAGAGAAGTCTGATATACTGCTTATCCTTGTACCTGTATAAGTAATGTGTTTTTTTCTTCTGGCATCTTTTAAGATTTTCTCTTTGTTTTTGATTTTCTGTAATTTGAATATGTGTAGGTGTAGATTTTTTGGTATTGTGCTTGATGATCATAGAGCTTACTGGATGTGTAGTTTTGTGTCTATCATAAGTTTGGGAAAATTTTCAAATGTTTTCTGTATTTCTTTCTTTTTTCCTTCTAGTATTCCATTACATATATGTTACATCTTTTGTAATCGTACACACTTCTTGGATATTGTGTTCTATTATTTTTCTCTTTTTATTTCAGTTTTGAAAGTTTGTGTTGATAATTATTCAACCTCCTGACCCTTTTGGGTTATGCCCAATCTACTGATAAGCCCAAGACCATCAAAGGCATTCATCATTTCCTTTGCATTGTTTTTGATTTCCAGTATTACCTTTTGATTCTGTTTTAGAGTTTCCATCTCTGTTTACATTACCCATCTGTTTTTGCATCTTGTTTACTTTTTGCATTAGAGTCGTGAAAATACGTATCGTTGTTTAAATTCCTCTGTTTATGCCAATACTTCTACCATATCTACATCTGGTCTCCTGGTGCTTGTTATGTCTCTTCATAGTTTGGCTATGTGTGGCTAGTTTTTACTTTTGTACTTTGGACAAATTGAGTCAGTATTTTTTTAAGGGAAATTTTCTGTAAGTACTATATACATGATCTGCTTTACTTAACAAAATAAAACTGCAGTAAACGTTTACTGTTATGTGAAGATGGAAGACTTTGGTAACGATATATAAATGCGTTTAAAGCAATTATAAATGCATTTAAATTAAAAGATTAAAGCCAGTTTAATTTTTTTCTGTATTTACTATTTATCACTATATTTTTAAGGTAATAATTGTAGATGTTTCTTTTTCTTTTTAAATAGATATGATGATGCTGTACAGCTATATGATAGGATTTTACAAGAAGATCCAACTAACACTGTAAGTTGGCAGATTGTCTTGAAAAAAAATTTAAAGTTTAATTTAAAAGATAAAATTAATTAATTGAGGAAATAATGGAAAGATACATAAGGAACTGGGTTTTATATTTTTAATTTTTAATTGAAAGATATTTTTATTTTTAATTTTAAATAGTACGTGATGGGCCACATTTTATTTTATATAGATTTAAGACTCTCCAATAAAATTTGACTTCTCAGCCTGACCAACATGGTGAAACCCCATCTCTACTAAAAATACAAAAATTAGCCAGGCGTGGTGGTACGCGCCTGTAATCCCACCTACTCAGGAGGCTGAGGCAGGAGAATCCCTTGAACCTGGGAGGCGGAGGTTGCAGTGAGCTGAGATTGCGCCACTACACTCTAGCCTGGGCGACAGAGCAAGACTTCACCTCAAAAAAAAAAAACTTCTAGAAGATATCTTATTAGAAAAGGGGCTAGTTATGATTTGGAAAGAGTAGACTATGTGTTTGCATAAAATATTTTGAAGTTTATGAAATACTAAATTGTTTAATTTGTGCAGTTACTTTTTAGTTGTCTTAAAAAAAAATAAAAGAAGCCATTTCAGTAATTAGTATATGGAATTAATGAAGGCATTTTATTTTGTTTTTTCTTTTTTCTGTCTTATACATGAATAAGAAGAAACATACCCTTTTAATTTAGTGTACTTTTGAACAAGTATATTAGTTTATTGGATAAATTATTTGTTCTAAAGGTACCTATATAGTAGTATTTGTTTGAAAAATACCCTGGTGAATTCTGTTTTTAATGTTGAGAACATTATAGTTTATTGCCATAATAGCTTTCCTCAGACTTAACCTGTTAACTAAAAAGTTACAGAGAGACTTTAGATAATATGTCAGTCATTTTAATGTTTTATGTCATTATTTCCATGCACACATATGCCTGCTAAAAGAAAATAAGTATTTTTAAAATTTTTAAACAAAAACCAGGTTGAGTTTTTTTTCTTTTATAGGAGGAGAAATTGTTATATTAACACAATAAAGATACATGAAGTTTTTCTCTTATTTGGCAAGTATTTCTTTAAAAATAGACATTAAAAAAACTTATATAATGTCTGACTGTAGATTTTAAAATGTAAAATGCTTAGTAATTGAACAACAGTAAGTCGATGTCTGTAGTTTCTAGAGCACATTTATCTCAGGCATTGATCATAAATCCCCTATCTCTGCTTATTTCCTTTGATAGTCTGTAATAATACTTACGTATTACAGTAGTTGATATGTTTCTTAAATGATAGTTGCTTACTTTTAATCTTTTCCCACCCCAGGGAGATTTTCTGTGGAAATTTCTTAGGGTTTTGGGTGGGTGTGTGGGGATTTGTGTAGGGATATGTGTGTCTGTGTGTTTGTGTGTGTAAGTTTTATTGGACTTACAGTTTCTCATGGCTGGGGAGGCCTCACAAACATAGCAAAAGGTGAGGAGAAACAAGTTACATCTTCTGTAGATGACAGCAGGCAAAGAGAGCTTGTGCAGGGAAACTCCCATTTTTAAAACCATCAACTCTCAGTATCAGAGACTCACCCACTATCACAAGAGCAGTGCAGGAAGCACCCACGCCCATAATTCCGTCATCTCCCACTGGGTTCCTCCCATGACGTGCAAATTGTGGAAGTTACAATTCAAGATGAGATTTGGGTGGGGACACAGTCAAACCATATCATTCTGCCCCGACCCCTCCCAAATCTCATGTCACATTTCAAAACCAATCATGCCTTCCCAACAGTCCCCCAAAGTCTTAACTCATTTCAGCATTAATTCAGAAGTCCACAGTCCAACATCTCATCTGAGATAAGGTAAGTCCCTTCCACCTATGAGCCTGTAAAATCAAAAGCAAGTTATTTCCTAGATACAATGGGGGTACAGGCATTGGATAAATACAGCCATTCCAAATTGGGGAAATTGGCCAAAACAAAGGGGCTACAGGCCCCGTGCAAGTCTGAAATCGAGTGGGGCAGTCAAATCTTAAAGTTCCAGAATGATCTCCTTTGACTCCATGTCTCACATCCAGGTAATGCTGATGCAAGAGGTGGGTTCCTATGGTCTTGGGCGGCTCCACCCCTGTGGCTTTACAGGGTACATCCTCTGGCTGCTTTCACGGGCCAGTGTTGAGTGTAGATTTTCCAGGTGCACAGTGCAAGCTGTCGATGGATCTACCATTCTGGTGTCTGGAGGATGGTGGCCCTCTTCTCACAGCTCCACTAGGTGGTGCCCCAGTAGGGACTCTGTGTGGGAGCTCCTGCCCCACATTTCCCTTCCACACTGCCTTAGCAGAGGTTCTCCATGGGAGCCCCGCCCTTGCAGCAAACTTCTGTCTGGACATCCAGGCATTTCCATATACCCTCTGAAATCTAGACAGGGATTCCTAAACCTCAGTCTTGACTTCTGTGCACTCACAGGCTCAACACCACATGGAAGCTGCCAAGACCTGAGGCTTGCACTGTCTGAAGACATGGCTTGAGCTCTGTGTTGGCCCCTTTCAGCTACAGCTGCAGTGGCTGGGATGCAAGGCACCAAGTCCCTAGGTTGCACACAGCACAGAACCTTGGACCTGGCTCATGAAACTACCTTTTCCTTCTAGGACTCCAGGCCTATGATGGGAGGGGCTGCCATGAAGACCTCTGACATGCCCTGGAGACATTTTCCCTATTGTCTGTGGAATTAACATTAGCTGCTTGTTACTTATGCAAATTTCTGCAGCTGGCTTGAATTTCTTCTCGGAAAATGGGATTTTCTTTTCTATTGCATTGTCAGGCTGCAAATTTTCTGAACTTTTATGCCCTGTTTCCCTTTTAAAACTGAATGCCTTTAACAACACCCAAGTTACCTCTTGAATGCTTTGCTGCTTAGAAATTTCTTCCACCAGATACCCTAAATCATCCTTCTCAAGTTCAGAGTTCCACACATCTCTAGGGCAGGGGCAAAATGCCACCAGTCTTTTTGCTGAAACATAACAAGAGTCACTTTTGCTCCAGTTTCCAACAAGTTCCTCATCTCCATCTGAGACCACCTCAGCCTAAATTTCATTGTTTGTGTCATCAGCATTTTGGGCAAAGCCATTCAACAAGTCTCTAGGGAGTTACAAACTTTCCCACATTTTCCCATCTTATGAGCCCTCCAAACTGTTTCAGCTTCTGCCAGTACCCAGTTCCAAAGTTACTTCCATATTTTTGGGTACCTTCAGTAACGCCCCACTCTACTGGTACCAGTTTACTGTGTTAGTCTGTTTTCATTCTACTGATAAAGACATACCCTAGAAGACTGGGCAATTTACAAAGGAAAAGGTGACTTACAGTTCCACATGGCTGGGGAGGCCTCACAGTCATGGCAGAAGGCAAGGAGGAGCAAGTCACATCTTACATGGATGACAGCAGGCAAAGAGAGCTTGTGTAGGGAAACTCCCATTTAAAAACTATCAGATGTTGTGAGACTCATTCACTATCATGAGAACAGTGCAGGAAAGAGATGCCCCCATAATTCAGTTACCTCGCTGGGTTCTTCCCATGATCCATGGGAATTGTAGGATTTCCAATTCAAGATGAGATTTGATTGGGGACACAGCCAAACCATGTGAGTGTGTGTGTCTGTGTGTGTGTGTGTGTGTGAATGTGTATGTGTGTGATGTGTTTGTTTTGTTGTTTGATGTGTTTGTTTTGTTGCTGAGAACTTTCATTGTTTTGTGAAGATTCTCAGAATATAGAAAGTTCAAGGAAAACTTTTGACAGCTGCAAACCTGTCTAATAAAAAATAAAAATAAGAAATAGCTTCTATAAGCTTATATAGATACTGAGAATAAAAAGTTAAAATTGGAAAGTTTTTGAATAATTTCCTAATCTTACAATTCTAATAGCTTACCATCTGTCTTAGTTCAACAGTTTCTTAGAAAAAGCACCCTTTTTTTTTCTGAAGATTTTCTCATGTACTTATTCTTCACTTATAAGACTTCATTGTGGTTTCAAAGATACTCATTTTTCACTTAGCCATAGATTGAAAAAACTGAAATCAAGTTTTTGAAAACAGCTTCTGAATTTTATTTTTCTCATCCCAGGTTAAAAATCAATATAATTTAATTTTGGAATTAGGAATACAATATTTTAATTCTGTCTCAGTTTACACTGGAAATTTTTAATAAGTTATTTGACTTCTTCAGAATATAAGATAATATATAATTATTGCTCTGTCTTTGTAGTAGCTTTCATATTTTATTGCTTTTTGTGACTTTTAAAACTGGCTGAAAGAGAAATCCAAATGTTTCCTCCCATAGAATATGTGTGAAGTGGTACAAATTGAACATCCTTACGCTGAAAATTTGTAATCCAAAATGCTTCAAAATTCAGCACTTTTTGAAGAATGGAATAATGTCACAGGTGGAAAATTTCACCCCGATCACATGTGATAAGTCACAGTCAAAACACAATGAAAACTTTGTGTTCTGCACAAAATTATTTAAAATATTGTATAAAATTGTTACCTTCAGGCTATGTGTATAAGGTGTATAGGAAATGTCAACCAATTTTGTGTTTAGAGTTGGATCCTTATCACTGTGATATCTCATGTATACAGAAATATTCCAAAATTTGAAAATCTCTGAGATGTGGAACACTTCTAGTTTCAAGCATTTTGTGTAAGGGATACTCCCTGTAGTAACTAAATCCCCTACCGGTAGGTAAACATTTGAGAGCAAGGCGACTTAATTCAGCTTTGCTAAATGTATTATTTTTTTTAATCAAACATGATCTAGTCTTTTCTCAGTCCCTTCTTTCTTTCTGTAAACATGTATTGAATACCTCTCATGAACCATCAAGAGTTGCCCTTACTAAGAGTAGAGATACTGTTTTTGTTCCTGTGTCCTTAGGAAGCACTGTGCTAGACATTGAAGGAGAAAACATAGCTGTTGGCCGGGCGCGGTGGCTCAAGCCTGTAATCCCAGCACTTTGGGAGGCCGAGACGGGCGGATCACGA